CTCTATGTCAAGGAGAGTTCAGAGTGGCAATTGCAGGAATTTCGTGTTATGGATTATCTCACTCGCTGTGTTGGCTCTGGTCTCACTGTCGAGATTGGCTCGCTTCCCTCTGCTCAGGCCATGTGGACTCGTCTCACTGAGCGTTTCACTGAGTGCTCGGGTGCACGGGAGGCATATCTTCTGCAACGCATTTCTCTACAACGCAAAGGTAGTTCATCTCTGCAGTCCCATTTTGGACAAATGCAAGCTTTTTGGACAGAGTTACGCTCCATGCTTCCTGGACGTAATTCCACATATGAAGACTGGCTAGCCTGGTACGAACGGCATGAGGTGCATCAATTGTTTCAGTCCCTTCCTGAATATTCAACTATGGCTGATCAACTACTTCACCAGCCTCAATTTCCGACTTTGGCCTCAGTTATGGGAGCTCTCACTGCTTATGAGACCCGGCAGCAGACAGCACGACTCAATTTGTCAACAGACACTCCTACCTCTTCACTCGAGACTGTTTTGTCTGTACCTGTCACTGCTCCTGTTATGAATTATACTTCTCCACAGGCTCCCTCTCCACAGGCTCGATCTAAGCTCTCTTGCAAATATTGTAAGAAGGAAGGACACCGCATTGAGACATGCTTCAAGCTTCATCCTGAGTTACGTTCCTCAGGTACTGGACGTGGTCGGCGACCCCCTCAGTCTCAACCCTCTCGTACACCAGGATTGTTGGCCAATGCTATACCTTCTACTACTTCAGACTCTACTATTCAAGCTATTGAAAGTCTTCGCCGTCAACTTGATGCTTTTCAACATATCACCTCTACATCCGCCGCACAACTCTCTGGTATGCATTTTGCTGGTTCTTCAGCTAATCCTTCAGTCTCTGGTATGAATGATCTCTGGATTTTTGACTCTGGTTGTTCCTTTCATATGACTTGTAATGCCTCACTTTTATCCTCTGTCTTTACTTCATCCTCTCTTCCTCCTATCTACACAGCTGCTGGACAACCATTGTCCATTACTCAGTATGGCTCTATTACCCCACAAAATGATCCATCTGGTCGTCTAACACTTGGTCCCGTCTATGTGGCTCCACAATTGTGCTTGAATTTAATTTCTATTAGCTCTTTATGCATGGCGGGCCTGTTTGTCTCATTTTCTTCTGATACTTGTATTGTGCAGGATCCACAGACGGGCAAGACGGTTGGGGCGGGTCGTAGGAGGCACAAACTGTATTTTCTGGAATATCTTCACCTTCCAGAGTCCATACGTCCACGTTCTCTTGTTGCTTCTCTTTGTTCGTCAAAACCCTCTACCTCGCTTCCTGCCAATTTATGGCATAGACGACTTGGTCATGTGTGTAATAAAAGGCTGGAGAGTCTTATTCAGTCTGGAGTACTTGGTCCTGTATCATCTAGTTCTAGTATTGAGTCATGTGCTGGTTGCAAATTGGCTAAATTCACTGCTTTACCATTTAAAATGAGTACATCTGTATCCACTTCCTTATTTGATTTAGTACATTCTGATATTTGGGGGCCAGCTCCTTTGCCTTCTTCATCTGGCTACTTATATTATGTTAGTTTTATCGACGATTTCTCTCGTTTTACATGGGTTTACCTACTTAAGAATCGCTCTGACGTACTTACTGCTTATCAAGCCTTCACTGCTATGATTTTCACTCAATGGCAATCTCGTATTAAAGTTTTTCGTTCTGATTGTGCCAAAGAGTACCTATCCTCTGCCATGCGCTCTATCATGTCCTCTCATGGGACTATCTTTCAACAGTCATGTCCCTACACTCATGAGCAAAATGGTGTTGCTGAACGCAAACATCGTCATATCCTCGATACTGCCCGATCAATGCTCATTTCTTACTCTGTTCCTCGTCGTTTCTGGGCTGAGGCTATTCTCACCGCGACTCATGCCATTAATATCACTCCATCTAGCTCTCTTTCCGGTGCTACTCCTTATAGTCGTGTTTATACTCATCCTCCCCGTTATGATCTAGTTCGCGTTTTTGGTTGTCGATGTTTTGTTTTTCTGCCATCTCACGAACGTGATAAATTGTCTCCCAGAGCAGTTTCTTGTGTTTATTTAGGAATTAGTTCAGAACATCGAGGTTATCGTTGTTATGATCCCGCAACTCGTCGAGTTCATATATCTCGTCATGTTCAGTTCGAAGAGGATTCTCCATATTATTCTACTTCTGATGACTTTAATTTCCTCCACTCTACCGATCATGCTTCCCCGTCCACTGCATCACCCACTTCTTCACCTCAATTTTCCTTTCGAGATCTCCCTGACATCTCTCCCTCTCCTTCTGTTGACTCTTCCTCACCTGAGTCTTCTCTTACACCATCTAATCCATATCCTGTGGACACAACTCTCACTCCAGAAAATACTGTTGATCTTCATGCACCTGCGCCAGCATCTCCCCCGCCTGAGGTTCCTCTTGCTCTTCGTCGAGGCAAACGCCCACATGTCATGCCTGCCCGGTATGCTTCTGTTACTTCTTATTCACCTATCTTTCATAACTTTCTTGCTGCCATTCATACTATTGTTGAGCCAAAGTCCTTCCAAGAGGCAGTTCAAATTCCAGAGTGGCGACAAGCTATGGCTGAGGAATTTCAAGCATTTCAGCAAACTCATACCTGGGATATTGTTCCCTGTCCTCCTGGGATCTCTCTTGTTGGCAGTAAATGGGTTTATAAGGTCAAGTTTCGTCCTGATGGCACCATTGAACGTCGAAAAGCTCGTTTAGTGGCTAGAGGTTTTACTCAGCAACAAGGTATTGATTATGAGGAGACCTTTGCTCCTGTTGCTCAGATGCCCACTGTGCGTACTCTCCTTGCGGTCGCTGCTGCTCATCGTTGGCCCTTATACCAGATGGATGTCAAAAATGCTTTTCTTCATGGCTCTTTATCAGAGACCGTATATATGCAACCGCCTCCAGGGTCAAATATTCCTCCGGGACATGTATGTCTCCTTCGTCGTGCTGTTTATGGTCTCAAACAGGCACCCCGCGCTTGGTTTGAGTGTTTTCGCGATGTTGTGCTCAAAGCGGGCTTTATAGAAAGTCATCAAGATGCTTCTCTGTTTGTTCGCACTACATCGCGTGGCAGGGTTTTATTACTCATCTATGTAGATGATATGATCATTACAGGTGATGATATGACAGGTATACAATACGCAAAATCTCAGTTGCAACAACAGTTCCACATGAAGGATCTTGGATCTCTTCGGTATTTCCTTGGTCTAGAAATTTCTCAAGGCCCGCGGGGTGTATTACTGTCTCAACAGAAGTATCTCTCAGATATTCTAAATCAAGCTGAGTTAACTGATAATACAACTGTCGATACTCCACTCCAGCAGAATGTCAAACTTTGCTCTACTGACGGTGAGCCTCTATCTGATCCTACCCGATATCGACATCTTGTTGGTCAGTTGGTCTATTTGTGCATCTCTCGACCAGATATCTCTCATGCTGTTGGTATTGTCAGTCAATTTGTTAGTGCCCCACGTTCTGTACACTATGCTGTCTTATTACGGATTTTTCGGTACCTCCGGGGTACTAGCACTCGCTCACTTTTGTTTCCTGCTACATCTAAGTTAGAGCTTAGTGCATATTCTGATGCTGATTGGGCTGGTGATCCAACTACCAGAAAGTCTACCACAGGTTATTGTATATTTCTTGGTGATTCCCTTATTTCCTGGCGAAGTAAGAAACAAGATGTTATTGCTCTTTCCAGTACTGAGGCAGAGTATCGTGCAATGTCCACAACAGCTAAAGAGATTATTCATCTTCGTCGCCTTCTCAGTGATTTCGGTATTTCTGTTACGACTCCTACTCCTCTCTACTGTGATAATAAGAGTGCCATCCAGATTGCTAATAATCCAGTATTTCATGAAAGGACCAAACATATTGAGATCGACGCTCATTTTGTCCGTCACCAAGTTATCAAGGACAAGACAATTCTACTTCCTCATGTTTCATCCGCTGACGAGCTTGCAGATTTCTTCACAAAGGCCTTACCTGTTCATCGGTTTCAGTTTCTTGTATGCAAACTCACTTTGTTTGATCCAACATGAGTTTGAAGGGGGCTGTTGATAATAGTGTATTGTAGTGGGTTTTAGTCCCACATTGCTTGGGAGAACAAACCTCACACTCCTCTACTTGTATAAATATATGTGCACACTCAATATTCAATTCAAGGGAAATTTACCCAAGATTCTCTCTCTCTCTCTTACTTTAACACCTATCAAATACATTGTTGGTAACACTATAAAATACATAATCTTTTAGTACGTAGCTCAACTATTAGCCTATGAAGAGAGAGTTTAATGCATAAGCGATGATGTGAAAATTTTTAGGATCCCATATGATGATAGGAGATGACCATGATGGTGTATGGTTACATAGGCATCATGTGGCTGTATACATGCATGCTAGAAATTAACAAAAGCTCAACTTAAGCTATATAGTAACATGAGGTACCCATCGGTGGAAGTGGTGTTACGTGACACCACTTCTATCGAGGTAGATACACCCTTGGAGTCTGTAGCACTTATCACTCTTCAACTATTTCATTAGCATTAATAATTTGTTGGCTGCTATTTAGAATAATATATTGTTAATCTATAGGGAGTTTTACTCTTTAAAAAAAATGTTTCAGTATGTGGAAGTTAGGGGAGATTTGCAGAACTCCCCAAAGTTTTGTGGGTGTTTTCGCTAATTTATAAACTCATGATTTTTTTGTTCAAATCACCCAAATAGAAGGGGTTCTCTTCTTAAATGTACCCTTTTTATGTAGCCTAGTTTGCTCTCCGTAGTCTCTCTCTCTCTCTCTCTCGAATCCCAAGAATCAGCGTGTTGTGATCCCAAAACTTGAGAGTGGAAATGGCGAGACCGGCGATCGCCAGTGAGGGTGAGGATGAGGACGGATCGGAGCTTCTTCTGCTGGAGACCGGAGGCGACCGGGAGCGAGAGCCGTCGTGGCGACTGAACTTCGACGGGGGAGCACACGGAGAAGCCGCCACGTGGACTTCAAGATTGCCTTGGGGTTTTAGGTAAACACGTTTATTTTTTGCCCCAATTTCTTTAGAGTAGTTGCGGTTTTGTCTGTTTCTTAAACAATTTTTTTATAATTATTTTTAACAACTCTCATTGATACTATTTTTGGGAAACTGATATTGGGATTATTAGGGAAAAAGGTTGAAACTTTATGCCTCAAATTAAAGTCTTTCTAACCATCATATCAAAACTTCGAAGTTCGAAGTTATGGTGAGAGTCATGTATTATAGTTTCTAATATGCTCCTCTCTTTTTTCATGGTGAGAGTCATGTATTATAGTTTCTAACATGCTCCCGTCTTTTTTTATGGGCTGAAACCTGGGCTCATGTAGCGGTGTTAATTTTTAGAAAATCCAGTTAAAATTCTTGACCGGAGGAATTTTAATTTGGGTTATACTGATACCATCTGTATCATCTTAAATTTAGTTCTCTAACCATTACACCAAAAGTTCCGAAGTTATGGTGAGGGTCGAAGATTATAGTTTTATATTAATTCTAATATTATGAACTGGGTATAGAAGAAACTAAACATTCATCTATATCATATTTTTGTAATTGACTGAGAATTATTTGTAATCCATGGAAACGGTTCAAGGTGTCAATTTTAAACAATTTTTAGATAATTGAGTAGTTTAAAGAGAGATTTTAATGCATAAGCGATTTAAAAATTTTTTAATATAAAAAAGCAACTAAAATTTGCTTACGAAGTGAAAATTTGGATATTGGGAATATAGATATTGGGATAGAATGATGGAAATATTTATATATAAATGATATGTTGATGAGTGAATATAGCTAAAATTGTTCCTTAATGAAGAAGAGTAAGTTCAAGGACAATGTTTGAGTTGCCCATTCTTAGCATTTTTGGATAACTTAGTACTGAAATAGATATATTTTCGTGCACCCTGTAGATAAACATTCGAGTAAACAAGTATAATATGTTGATAAAGCGCTTCCAATATCATGGCTTCACTAGCAGAACTGTTCATGCCGCATAGGATATTGACAAATGTTTGGAAGAACAATTGGAATTAGATGTTATAACACCATTGATAGATTATATTTCTGTCATCTTTTTCAAGTAAATAAACCTGTTTTTTCTTGGATGACAAAGTTTGTTTCCTATGTTAATATACTCCATCATATGTGAGCATAGTTAAGTTTCAAGCATGAAACTTAAGAGGGGTTTATCAAACATTGGCTGAAAGGAACTTTTTTTATGGTTGTAGGTCCTGGAGATGTTGTAGCGGAGTATTATCAGCAGCAAATAGAAATGCTTGAAGGGTTTAACGAAATGGATACTTTGACTGACCGTGGGTTTCTTTGCCATTAGGATTTCGAACATAGCAAATATGGTCCTTTTTGCTGCAAAAGTTTATGCTTCGATAAGGAGTGGCTCATTGGCTATTATTGCATCCACATTGGATTCTCTACTTGATCTGCTGTCAGGTTTTATTTTATGGTTTACTGCATTCTCTATGCAAACACCGAATCCTTATCAATATCCTATTGGGAAAAAGCGCATGCAGCCATTGGTAAGTTTCTTTCTGCTGATTAATCAGATGTCCTTTATATTTTTTGGTTGTCAAGACAGTGAGGTTTACCATTTTAATGGAGTCCTCCATCGTTCTATTTGTACCAAAGCACCTTATTCTTGCATTCAGAATTGGTAGCTAATTGTTGTCTATCCCCATGGAAGAATTAGCAACAGGTGCAAAGCAATTGTCACTGTAAATTTGTCCCTCTTATCTTCTGCTGGAGAGTTGAGTGACGATGCTGAGAAAATAAATGTTTTTTCCCCTTATGAGCTTAGGGGTGGCAATATGTCAGGATTGAGAAGAAACTGGATCCAAATTTACATATACATACAATGGTCACTTGTTTTTTCTTTGAGATTGCCTAGTAGGCATAACTTAAGTCGGTAGGGAAAATAAAACAAGGAACAAAAGAAACGTTATTGTTCTTGTCCTGTCTCTCTCATACTTGAGTAAGACTATAGTTTTGAGTATGGGAGACATCCTGCCATAAATTTTGCCCTCATAAGGTAGTGAAATTCTAGTCCGAGGGCAACGTTTGAATATGTCCATCATTAAGTCCTTTCACCTAATTAACTTGAATCATACTCTGTTCTACTGGCAATACAAGTCTCCTCGATGTTTCTGAGTCTGCTTATTCATTACAGCATCCAAACCATGACCTGCTATACAAAATCTACTTAATTCTTTTTTGTTTTCAGGCTTTTCATGTCTATACAGTTTATTGTGTTTCACTTTATACCTCTGCTGCTGTCGAGTTGGTGAATGCAGATTCTTTGAAGTATCTCAGTAATCAATGACTACGTCACTACAATACTTTTCTACTCTCATCTTGAGCATCTCATGAGCTCATAAGCTTTGATTTAACATCGCCTGTTTTATCTTGAAGATCTTTAAAACAGTTTCCTTGAGATAGCTTGATGCGGTCTCTTGTAAACTTCATATGTACCAAGTTATCCTTTAGTTTGCCTTCCATTTTTCTTAACGAAAAGAAACTATTATGCAGGGAATCCTTGTGTTTGCATCTGTTATGGCAACTCTTGGTCTCCAGATTATATTGGAATCAGTGCGCTCATTAGTATCAGATGTAAGTTAATGTCCTTTTCTCAACTATGTTTGTGTTGTATTCCTTCGAATATTGCTCCTATTATTCTTTAAAGACTTAGCAGCATGGAGTTCGTGAATTAACAAGTGTGCATGAGTCAAAATAGATGCATAATTTGGGAGATAAATTGTACTGTAATTACCTGCTTAGCCTGAACATATTCTTATGAAATGCTTGCGTGGGTTAAATTGGTGTAGGAGGATGGATTCAGCTTGACCAAGGAGCAAGAAACTTGGGTGGTCAACATCATGTTATCAGTGACATTAGTGAAGCTCGCGCTGGTCGTATATTGCCGTTCCTTCACCAATGAGATTGTCAAGGCTTATGCACAGGACCACTTCTTCGATGTGATCACCAATGTCATCGGGCTTGTGGCTGCACTTCTTGCCAATTATGTAAAGTATTGGATTGACCCAGTTGGAGCTATGATCGTGAGTACTGATTTAAAGCATTTCTATGTTCATATGTCAGTATAGTTGCTCTGACCGTTGACAAGAAGTCATTTTGGACATGCTATCAATCTTAGAGTTTGTTGTTCTATATTGTTGGTTAAATACTACCATCCATAGAATTTCTCATCAATGGAGAATAATGCATTTTGGGTGTCTAAATGCAGCATAGAGTCCCTTCTCTAATCACAACCATCTAGTAATATTCAGCTGACTATGATTAATTGCAAATCTACCACTTATTATGTCCTCTATGGTTTGCACTCGCAACCATCAACTAACAATGGATGGTTGTGATTGAGGAAGTGGAATCACCAAATGTACTGATGTAAGGGTTAAATAACTCTCGATGCGCCATCTATTCAGTGGACATAATACCTAGAATAGTTTACTCGTATTTGAATATCTACGTTTAGCTCATAACATTCCCTTGATTTAAGACTTAACTAGTCATCTTCAGTTTATAGGTAGCACTGCACAACACTATCTAACGATAAAACTGTATCTGTTGGATGGATGATGCATTGCTCCAAGGACTGTCTATTCCTAGATCAATATGAAGCAGGAGGGCTTGGAATTGAGCATACTGATCTAGGAATTAGGCACTCCTTGGTGCCCATCTATCCAATCGAGTCTACTCTAACTAGTCATCATGTTTTGTATTCATCATATCAATACAGTACATGAGGGCTTGGATTGAGTTACCAATCATAGAATTAGGTAGTCCATGGTGCATGCATCAACTATCCAGGCAAATTGACACTAACCCGTCATCCTCCCTCATCTTTACAGCTAGCACTATACACCATCCGAACTTGGTCATCAACAGTTCTGGAGAACGTGAATTCTCTCGTAGGACGATCAGCAGCTCCAGAGTTTCTCCAGAAGCTAACATATCTCTGCTGGAACCATCACAAGGCTATAAGACACATCGACACAGTTCGAGCCTACACATTTGGATCGCACTACTTTGTGGAGGTTGACATTGTGTTGCCATCGGAGATGCCACTTAGAGAAGCTCATGATATTGGGGAGGCTTTGCAGGAGAAGCTCGAGTCGTTGCCTGAGATTGAACGGGCGTTTGTTCATCTTGATTATGAGTTCACTCATCGGCCTGAGCATGCTCAGTCAGTTGATAGATAGCTTATGGTGTTAAATGGGAGAGCCTGTTACTGTGCTTCCTTTAGTAGGGCTTGTTGAGATGTTTGCACTGATTTTTGAGAATATTTTAGCGTCTGTTAGTGCGGTACTCTGTGCTCTCTGTGCGATTTGTAATATGATGCTTACAAGCTGTTATATACAAGTCTAGATTAGTTTATTCCCCTTCTTTTCATCCTTCCTGCTTTGATTACTTAGTTCGGTAGCTAGAGAAATTTTAACCGTCCATTAGAGTGCATGAGGCCCCATGGCTCCTCTTTTTCGTACTGATTTAAAATAATTGTAGATGACGAAGGAGATTCTAGCGCCTCACATGTCAGTGTACTCGCCATCACTGTGGGCGCAACTTTTTTGATGGACAACAGTGGCTGCATAGATGTACTTACTAGAATTTAGATTGATTTTGTTTGAGATGGATGTATTTTCTCCTCTGTAGAATTTAGACTGATTTTTGTTTTGAGATTTGTTATTTATCACGCTTTTGAGACAAGTTTAAGTTGTTATCCCTTGTGTCTATTTATTGAGGTAAGCGTTTGTGATATTGTTATCTAACACGGTAGTTTATGCTGTTTTCGTGTGAAACTTCTAAACAGTTAATGATAACATTTGCAAGGTTTACCCCAATTTGGATGCGTATCATTATGTAATGTAGATCGTTGCCGTTGAAGAGCGGATACTCACACATAAATGGATCATACTATCTACTGCCAAAATCGGAACAATTCCAAACTTTGTCCTTTTAACATTGATGTTTCTTCGAAAAGAGAAGACAACTTGGACAAGCTGAGTTACATAATTATAAAAGCTAACCTTAGATTCAAAACACAACATTAAACAGAGGAAGAAATACAGCTTGAAACCCTCAAATTCCACAAACAACAGCGGAGGATCAGGCAAGCATATACTACAGAAGTAGTATGTTAAACATAACAATACTTCTGGAAAAAAGTGCTATGACAGACTCAAGCCGACTCCAGAAAAAGAGCTCCTCATCATCTTAAGAGAGGTACATACGGATCTCATGAGCAAATCTCAACCAATCCTCAACAGACCGCAACTCTCAAACATACCGAGATTATACAACAGGACTCGAAACTAACCAGACTGGAACGAAGTAACCTTAACAAACTTAGAAGCACTTCCTGTGGACAATAGAGGGACCAGATTCATCATACTCTCCCTTGGAGATCCACATCTACAAGAATCAAACATTTTGTTAGTTAGGAATGATACACTGAGAAAATTTGAATATCGATGAACCAAAACTTTTAGGGGAATGAAAATTTTCACCTGTTGGAATGTACTGAGGGAGGCGAGGATCGAACCTCCAATCCAAACACTGTACTTCCTTTCAGGAGGAGCCACAACCTTAATCTTCATGCTGCTAGGAGCGAGTGCAGTAATTTCCTTGCTCATCCGATCAGCAATCCCAGGGAACATAGTAGAACCTCCACTGAGCACAATGTTACCGTACAAATCTTTTCTGATATCCACATCACACTTCATAATGGAGTTGTATGTTGTCTCATGAATCCCAGCTGATTCCATACCAATCATTGATGGCTGGAAGAGAACCTCCGGGCATCTGAATCTCTCTGCCCCAATGGTGATCACTTGCCCATCAGGCAATTCATAGCTCTTCTCCACTGCTGAGCTGGTCTTGGCAGTCTCCAGCTCTTGCTCGTAATCTAGGGCAACATAAGCAAGCTTCTCCTTGATATCTCTCACAATTTCCCGCTCTGCAGTTGTGGTGAAGGAGTAACCTCTCTCGGTGAGGATCTTCATCAGGGCATCAGTGAGATCACGACCAGCGAGATCCAGACGAAGAATAGCATGAGGAAGAGCATATCCTTCGTAAATTGGAACAGTGTGGCTCACACCATCACCAGAATCGAGCACAATACCTATTTGACAATGCCAGAATGGTCAGTAGAAAAGGCACTTGGTAAATTGTAGATAACCCATGACACTTATCACTCCTCAATTCATTTATTAACACTTATCACCCCTCAACTCTTGAAGATAGGGGGTTGTTTGCAATTTATACTTCTCAAAACATCAATCTAGAAGTTATAAATTCCAACAAAATAGTTCAGGGAGTTGAGGGAGGATAAGTGCTACTGAAGGCGTTATCTGCAATTTACCCCTTTAATTAAGCAAGAATGTTATTTTGCTGATACAAACCAGTTGTACGGCCACTAGCATATAGGGAAAGTACGGCCTGAATGGCGACATACATTGCAGGCACGTTGAAAGTTTCGAACATGATCTGGGTCATTTTCTCTCTGTTTGCCTTTGGGTTCAGAGGGGCTTCAGTCAAGAGCACAGGGTGTTCCTCAGGGGCAACACGAAGCTCGTTGTAGAAAGTGTGATGCCAGATTTTCTCCATGTCATCCCAATTGCTAACAATTCCATGCTCAATTGGATACTTCAATGTGAGAATACCTCTTTTGGATTGGGCTTCATCACCAACATAGGCGTCCTTTTGGCCCATCCCAACCATAACACCAGTATGGCGAGGTCGACCTACAATGCTGGGGAATACTGCTCTTGGTGCATCATCACCGGCAAATCCAGCCTGTATAATGAAATGGGAAGAAAAACTAATATCAGTTTCTGCCAGGGGTGTAAATGGAACAATGCGGCTTAGGAGAAAAAAATGATTACCAACCTTGACCATTCCTGTTCCATTGTCACAGACAAGAGGTTGGATATCCTCAGCATCGGCCATTTTTCAAAAATCTGCAAAATGATATACCGAGGGATTTATATTCTAACAGTCAATAAGCATATCACCTCAATTACCTCTAAATCGAGCAATATTTACTTACAAAGCAAGAAATTTCTTACTGGCATGAGTACCTGCAACTAGCACATAGGAGTGTAAAAAGAAAGGGTATTGGGATTACGGTATATGTAATTGTTTTCTTCTTTCAGCTATGAATGTGAATGCAAATATTTTCTAGACACTAAGCTTTGTGCACATATTTAGAAAATAAAGCTTGGACTGGCTTGGATTCAGTTAAACATTAGGCCTTACGAATAATGTTTGGAAAGAAAGATTAGTTTAACATTCAAATTGAATGTGGAATCCAGAAAAATGATTCTCCATATTATTAATAGTATGTGATGAAATAGATTGAACCTCTCTATGATCATGCTCTTTCAAATTCTGATGTATCAGATTATTTACCCCTCTATTGGTATATGCATATGTATATTAAATGAAACGGATACAAACATCCATATTTGCCAAAATACTAATACATAGTTAATTTCAGATCAAATGTTTGTATGAGTTCACATTGCACTCCCTTTAGAATCATTGTTTCCAAGATGCATTCAGCTTTAAGCACTAAAATGAAATCAGAATTTTGAAATAAATTTCTAATGCGGACATCAAAAGTAAATATCTACCAACAACTCAAAGAAGTATGATTGATCAAGAATTCAATTTCATACACACCCTCACCACATTTTAAACTCAAAAACAATGAGTAATCTCTTAAACTTAGCCCCCTCTAAGGCTCTAACCATTACACCAAAACTCCGAAGTTATGGTGAGAGTTGAGGTTTATAGTTTTATATTCTTAACATGCCCCCCACAGGTTGAGCGCTCTATTTATGGGCCAAAAACCTCTGATATCATTTTAAAGTTAGTCCTTTTAACAATTACACCAAAACTCTTAAGTTATGGTGAGAGTTGACCTTTATAGTTTTATATTCTAACATCATCATTCGATCAAAACAGAGTTATCAGTCTGGTAAATAATTCCAAACTAGTAAGCATACCCAACAAAATTTCACTTGTATGAACCTTCTTCTGGTTGCTCAAGGCCACTATAATAGTGAGATCAAGTAGGCTATTGCGTTAAAAACAATACCAGATAGCTAAAATAAGTAATAAACCCTAGATCCAGTTCCTAAAGAATGTAAAACTTTTTCTAGTACAAATCAAACTCAGTCAAAAGTTGGAAAGTTCTCTCACATCACAAACTCAGATCTTTCAAGTTCACAGATCTAACAAAAAAAAAAACTTCAACTCAACTTCAAATCTAAGCATCTCAACGAAACAAAGATCCTGTTTCCATCAAAGACGTCAAATTTCCAGTGAATCATAGATCGAATCGACAAGATTCACTGATCGAGCTACAATACTTAACCGCAAATCGAATCAGAGATCGAAACAAACGAACCTTTAGAAATCGAGGGTCGATCGAAGCAAAATCTTTTCCCTTCTTGCGAGAAAATAATAATAAAAAAACCCTAAGAAATGGCGAGGAGTAAAGATGAGGAGTTGGCTCTTTTATACGCTGAAGCTGTGGACTGTTGTTGCTTTTTAAATATAATAATTATAAAGGGATTTTGGAGAAAAAGACAGCGAATTTTTTGGCCGTGAATAATGGGATTTAGAGGGTTGTAACTGAAATTTGGACAGCTAATTAACAGCTTCAGAGGGTAGCTGGACTCGATCATTTTACAAAAAGAGCCTCTAAATTCTCTGTTTTGCTACGTTTAATATGTCTTTCGTTTTCGGAGTAGATATGTAACTCGTGGAAAATAAAATTTCTTAGAGGTTTGGCTTACTACATCAACTTATTAGATGTTTACTTCCAAGTTTTATCCATTTTGTTTCAGAATTGATTCATGTGCATTTTCTTGTTTGCAACTTAGTATTCTTTGTGATATATTTGTTAAGATTTGTCATCATTTGAAATTAAGGTTGATGCGTATCTTATGTCATATAAAGAAGTTTCCTCATAAACAATGATGTGGCTCAATCTTAACCAAGTGTTTCTCTCTTCTACTCTATTTACTTGGTGATGATTGTGTCGCATTATTATCATATGAAAGAACCCCCTCACATGAGAGGGATACTCAGATGAATCACATGCGTTCTTCTTCGTGTCCGTCCGTATCGCAAAGCTGGTCAACACCACCTGTAATGGTTGAAAATAGGGGGCGGAACGACGACCCCCCTAATCATTGTTCGAGAAAGCAAACAAATGATTCGATTGTTCTCTATTTTGAGCTACATCTAATATGAAGAGAAATATGGTAACAAGTAACTTTGAGAAGTGATCAACATATGTACCAAGTTTTTAGCGCTCCAGAAAACATTAATGTTGTGTTGTGAATAAAAGATGGAACATTTTCCTTCAAATATATCTCATCACATTGCAAGACTGCTAAAAAAATTATTTAAGATATTAAAATACTTGAAAAGTAAGGAGTTTAATCATATGAGGTTCTCAAATTTGAGGCTTAAGCACATTTTTCCCAAGTATTAAGCTTTAGAAATAGAGAAGAGTGAGATGTTTCTTCTACAATTTACCCTAAGTTGCATTCACAATGATCTTTAAAAGATTGATGGATTAGCTTAAATGCAATATGAAAGTATAAAACTTTAATATATGTACACATTGATGAATCATTATAAAATGGGCATGAGCTGTGTGGTCCATGACAATTCATTTTGCCAGGATTGAACTTTGGTCGTTATTGAACTCATAAATTTTTGTTCACACTTCCACAATTAATCAAAATTTGATGGTAGGTTTCTCAAGGCTTTTCTTTAAAATGGTCCAACGATTTGATTTTGTTTGGTCTTAAACTAGTATATACTATACGTCCATGTGATCAACAATATTATTTAATAAAAAAAAATTCTTTCCAACATGATATCACGTCACTGGCTTTCAAGATTTTCTTGGTTGTTGGCATGTATTTTTTTTAAAAAAAAATCTTATTTATTCTTTAATCTATACATGCCAGCTTTAGACTCACATGTGACAGAGTTGTAAAAGTATAATATTTGAGGGAGAAATTTTTAAAATAACCCCATTCCCAAATTTAATCTAAAAAATCGACCAAATCAACAGTTATTTAGAGCATCTCCAACAGCTTCCCCATTTCTCACTTTTGGAGAATATAGTTAGGTTTTTGATCCAACAGATTCCCCATCTCATTCCCCAAAATAGGGATGAAGGAGAAAAAATAGGGAAGCTTCCCCAAATCTGCAGCATTCTCCAAATTTTTGGAGAAAAAAATGGATTCTTCAAAATGGGGAAGCTGTTGGAGTTGGTGTAAAAATAATTTGGAGAATATGACTTTTGATTCCCCATTTTGGAGAAAATTTTAGAGAAGTTGTTGGAGATGCTCTTAGTGAAACCGACCCAGTTTTTGGTCACGTCAGACGTCACCATCATGGCCAGAAATTGGGTCGTTTAAAAAAACGAACTTCTAATTAGTCGGGGTTGACAACCCCGACTAATTAGGAGCTCTTCCACTATGAGCAGGATTAGTAAAAGCTAAAACCCGATCAAAGTGATCAGGGTTGCCAATCTCGACCAAAATGGTTGGGGTTGCCAACCCGTTCATTTGGCAACCATGAAGAGCTAACAAATTATTTCCTTTCTCTTATGCTTTTACTTAATAATTCAATACTTTCTCAGGCGGAAGCTCCATGAAGAACTTGGCATCAACCTTCTAAAAGATGCACTTGAGTTAATTTTTATTTTCCTTCAAGAATGGTGAGCAGGCTCTTTTTTCTACAGTCACTTCCAAGTTTAATTTTGTCTGAAATTCTGAATAAATTATATCCAATTATTTATCGTATTGTTCTGTAAACTTATTTTAATCTTGCTTGGAAGTTAGCTCAAGATTCATATTATTCGATATTTCCGAATAATATGTATATTTTCAATAATATGTACATTTGCTAATCCCAATAATATGAAGAGCTTTGCTAATCCAAGCTCTTCATGGAGCTCCCAAATGAACGGGGTTGGTTGGTAACCCCGATCACTTTGGTTGGGGTTTAGCTTTGCTAAACCCGCTTGCTTGTATAGGAAGAGCTTCTAATTAGTCGGGGTTACCAATCCCGACTAATTAGAAGTTTGATTTTTTTTAAAGATTCAGTTTCTGACCACGATGCTGACGTGGTCCGAAAATGGATCGATTTCACCCACTAATCGTAGATTGGGTTGATTTTTGAGATTAAATTTGGGAATAGGGCTATTTTGAAAATTTCTCCTATATTTGAGCTTATTGATAGAATTTCTGGTTAGGATAGCTAAAGCATGAATTCTTCACCAAGTTAAAATTACACATTTTCTCACTCTATTTGTTTATTGTCTACGAGTTATTTTGAGCTGGATGATGCTATTCAGGCTTACTTATAATCTCATAGACCATTTCAAATATATAGAATAAAATAAAATTAACAATTAAACCTTTATTTTGTGATGATTAGCGTATACATGTTTGATGTAAGACATCCTAAAAACAACTGTAAACAATGATTTTTCATGTTTCTTTAGTAAAAAACAGAAGGTGATGAAATTTGAAACATTCATTACAAATGGATTAAAAATTATGTATATCATGAATCCCCCCCCCCCCCCCCCCGCACTTAATCTAATCTCACAAAAATTGATGCATGATTTGGGACCAATTGCCCATGAGATCTAAGGAAATTGATGGTGATCATGTTCAATATCGAACTTTTTGTTGGATCACATGGATTGTTTCATTATTATTCATTATATACCCTTCAACTTTTTTCAAATTAGATCCCTACGGCAACATCTTTGCTTCTACTTTTCGTCCCAACGTGCTCGTGTACTATTATTCCCTTCTCATTAGTTAAATTTAATGATCTTAATACCCTCAAATGATAAATCATTACTCTAGCTATAAGCGACCTCATATAATGGACCCTAATGTTATTTGTTCAAACTTTTATAATGGATTAATTCAAGAAACAATAATAACCATGTGACTTAAACATCTTTATGATCTATTTGCAAAAAAAAAAAAAAAAAAAACCATCATAATTGAAAATACAATATTGCAGGTGGATGTCTTCTGCAGCCTTCACAGGACTCCAATTGTGAAAAATGAGAAACTTTTAATAAAAGCGATTTCTTGCATATTCTGTTGCGAGTATTACCCTTGCGATGAAACTAACAATTGTAAATGCAACTGCAACCGGCTTTTACAAATTGTCATAAAAATGATGCAATTTTAGATTAGGTACCTCTTGCCTTTTGCAAAATCAACGTTAAAAATTGTGAGCTCCTGCATATAAAACAACTCGTACCATTCAAAGTGATGCACTGAAAAATCTAAAGGAGAGACTAGGTTTGCCAAATGCTGTATGTACACCTACAATTTTGATGTAGGACGCTTAACTGACAATTTCATGGGGGATGCAGACAATCACGAGCTAAATACAGATTTATACGTATTGTTGACCTCCGCAAAAAAATGATCGTATCTTCCAACTCAGAAGGCGGATTCTAACATATTATATATGTAATTCGCCTATCTCGACGAGACGGAGCCAACTAGATTGTCAAATTTTTAAAATCTCATCAGTTACACACAGTTTTGGCTGAAATATGAAAATTAATCAGCCTTTAGTTTATTTTTAGTAATAAAGTTGGAGTCTATTTAGATTAGGAATAAATTCAATTTTAGAGTCAAATTAGATTAGGAAACAATTTCAATTTTGATTCATGATTTGTTTCCTTTATTATAGGGAGTCTTTTTAGGATAGAATTTGATACTTTCTATTTTTTTGTAATTCTAGTTTTACCAGGAGTCTTATTTGTTTTATATGCAGGAGCTTACAAAATCAACGTTAAAAAAATTGTGAGCTCCTGCATATAAAACAACTCAGTACCATTCAAAGTGATGCATTGAAAAAAATCTAAAGGGGATACTAGATTTGCCAAATGCAGCCTGTATGGGCACCTACAATTTTCAAATCAAGAGCCTATTTGGGGATCTTATGGACATCAAGATTCAAGGATGGTTTCAGATGACAGGGGTAATGAGTGAAAAGGGAACATGTTTTGTTGTCCGCTGGACTTTTTGCACATGAGGAGAATGATGAGTGCTTGCTTGCGAGAGATGTAGCGGGCGTTTGATTCGCAAAAATATGTGGTACGTGGCCCTGAGCTTTATCGGTGTGAGTTGCATAACCGAAAGCTACTGACCCCTAACAACACTGTTAGGTGGTCCAGAGTTAATGGGGGGAGCTGTCTCTCTGGTCCCAAGAATAATTCATAACATATTTTATACAATTAATAATGGATGTTAGTAAATGATACACGATGGAATTTTATTAGATAGAGTAATGTGACTAGATTCTTTATTTCTTACTTAAGGTGCCGCTGAGTAGGTCACGTAACAAAGTCATGTCGCTCCTTCGTGGGGGGGTCTAGGTTCGATTACCGTATGCGTTAAACACTTCAATCTATGCTAGTTTATTCGGTCAATTACTACACAAATTATGTACTACTATTCCTGATCGGCCCGCTTAAGCTATCTCTTAGCTACTTATGGATATGTTCATTTCTTATCCTAACGATAAGCATATTTAACCGCAAAGATTCAGCTACATCCTTTGTTACGGGTGAAAAAATAATGATAAGTGGACTCTTTAGCCGCTCATTCATCACAGAGATTCGCTTGCATTTACCAAACGCTTTGTTTAAGTGTATATATATACTTAATCCTCATTTGTGATACTTTACTTGGAATATTTAGAAACTAAGG